TATTTTCATTCGCTGACAGCTCACGTTACAGCCTTACAGCCATATTCTTAAAGCTACTGTAGACAAGCCTTTAGCGTATCGTTCACGCTCGCAAATTCAGGTATAAATTCTATTGTATTTTATCAGGTTATACATGATTTTGTATTCTATAGGAAATTAACAATAGAAATTCTATCACTATCTATTGTATTCTATTGTATACGATAGAATATTATTCACATTTTATAAATTCACGAACCAAAATCTATATTCAAAACGATAGAAAATGATTATTTTATTCTATCGTTCTCTATATACTTTTTTTCACCAGGGATCAACATCTAGGCAAACATATTTTATGCATATATCTCTGACTTCTTTTTTATTATATCAAATATTTGGACTAAATAGTTTATTTTTGTTGTTGCACTTAATAATATTTTAAGGAAATTATAATTACTGCTTTGACTGCGCAATTGGGGATAATACAAAACATTTAGTATCAGTTAAAAAAGTAGCGCAGCAGCTAAGATGAAACCTAGAAGTATCTGAAATTCTCGAGTTCGCGTCCGACCAGTATTGAGTAAATTTTCAGGTGTGAAAATAGTGAGAAATCATAGAAAAGCTAAACTTTATTTAAAATCAACATAAACTGATTAGTTGAAAATATATAAATTACTTTGTTATTAATTGCTCGTTAATACAATGTTCTGTACAAGGTTTTTGTAACGTTAATGGAATGAGACGAAGTATGGACGAATATTTTCATGTCGTTAGAAGGTTAATGGCAGGTTTATTTTTACCTCCGTGTAATGTTACCATCTTACAATTTAAGATTGTTATAACCTTATAGCAATATTAATGTGCTGTGAGGGTACTTACCTAAAACTTAATTATCTAAAACTATATATATACACACACAAACACACACAGGATATCCCATATGTCACGGATCGGCTGAATATCTCGGAAAGTATGCACTTTTGAGAAAAATATTTCAGAAAAAAATTATAAAATGATGTATTTAGTGATGTTAGCAGTTTGACCTTGGGTGACGTCGCCAAGATCAGGTCAAAGTCAACTTTAGTTTTTTAAATAGAAACATGCACCTTTTATTACGGAATTTTATTTTACATAAAGAAACAAACAACTTTTGTTTGAAAAAATTTTGATACAATCCTTATTTTTTAAGATATTTACGGAAATATCTACAAAATTATTGGTTTTAATAATTTCTTACACAAATTCTATCAACTTTACCGAAAAATGGCAAGAAATAAAAATTGTTTATTTTTGTCTCATAGAACCTCAAGAATTTTTTCAGAATTATTAACTTTTTAGTACTGCATTTTCTTGCATTTTCTTGAAGTACTAAAAAGTTCATAAAAAATTCTGAAAATTTTTTCTCAGAGCTTTTCTCTATTTTTCTCTATGAGACAAAAATAAGCAATTATTTAAGATAATAATAAGTTTTAGACAATAATAATTTTATATATATATATATATATATATATATATATATATATATTAAAATTTGAAGAAATGAAAATATTAGGAACAGCCTCCAATCGCCTTGACCTTGACAAATGTTGTCAAGGTCATGGCCCTGAACAACAAAAGGTTTTAGCCGTCGGTCGAACACCTTGGGTACCAATGCTAATGGTAACAATATTGTAACTTTGAAGCCTTTTAACTCGAAAGATACTTAATGAAAAAATATTTTATTATAGTGTTTTGGAAAGCTCTCGAGGTATGCTATAAGAATATGTAATGAAAAATGGGGAGTTCCATTTGAAAAATTCAAAGTGATCTTAATTACCCCACTCGAGGTCAAACCAATGATATCATCTTATGTCCCCCACGAAATCACAAAACTTTTATCTGAAACATTTTTCCCTAAAATGCACTGTTCAAGAGATATTTGAAGTGATCGATTAAAATGGGACACTCTGTATATATATGAGGCATTCTTCGTCAAACCGGCCATTCCCTCTGTCCAAAATTTGTATGGATCGATTGAGGTCAATCGGGGCTCAAATTTTAGGTGATCATGTCTAGTGTCGTTTGCCATCTAGTCTTTTGAGAAATTCATTATGGCAGCTCTAATATAGCGGCGGAAACTGGAAAAAACGATGGAAAAATCCGTACGTGACTTCCTATACGCTACACGATTACTCAAATCGGCTCCAAAATAATCAACCCAAGATTCTTAAGGTTGCTAATTACGACCTTAAGGCTCCTGGCCCCGGAGCTGAGAACTCCGAATCGACCGCAGAGCCATAGTTAGCTGTGGTGAGAATCACAACCTTATCCAGTGTAGCAACTACATGATAAATGCGATGAGGTTTTGTTCCATGCTACGACTGGTATGAGTTAAACAAAGACGGACAGCGAATATCTATCTGTCCTTGTCTGACTACTGGCGAGCTAACAATCGCGGCAGCAGACACGAGCCAGCAGCGATCTTCTCGCTTGCGCACACACATACACATATATATATACACATGATTCATTCTCTCACCCGTTCTTCTTTTCGCGCGATGCCTTACCTAGAAAGAAATATGTATGAAAACTTGGGATGACTCGTACCAATCCAAGTATCAGCGGGCACTTATAATAATTGTACTAATGTTTTTCTGAACGTCATATATAATAAAAATATAACAAAATTCATATGATAAAATTTAATTAGGACAACGTATAGGTAACTAAAAAACTAAAAAACTTACAACTTTCCCAGATAGCACATGGAATTTAAAAAAAATTCAGTTATATGTTACGAATTCTCAATTGATTTTTAGGTGCAAAAAGAATTTTTTTCACTGACCTGTGAAGAATAAAATGTGAATATCTCACATGAGACAAGTTTT